AAGTTCTTTTTGCGTTTGGCACGAATCTTCATCCAATAATACTTCCAATTCCGCGTCTTCGTACACTTTCGGCCTTCCCCTATGTTCTTTGTCTTCGACGTCAAATTCACCGTTCTTAAATTTTTGAAACCGCTCACGACAACTTCTCTCACTTAAGACAGCATCACCACATGCTTCTACAAGATTTATGAGCTGCAGATTTCTTCAAATTAAAGAAGTAAATCAAAAGTTCTCGCAAATGACGTTTATTCGGCTCAAAACTCGACATTTTCATACAAAAAAAAAAATATGATGTTGATACAAAATCGCTAATATTTCAAGGTTATGGTGTTGCCGGATGTCCAATCTTACGATGTGTCGTTTTACATCAAACAATTTTAATTATAGTTTATTAGTGGCGCCGTCTTTTGCAAACGACGGAAACTTATTTGTACTCCCAATAATAAATGTCATTTTTTTTTATTAATCATTTTTTGATCACGATTCAGTTTAATGTCATTTTAATGTTATTGTTCTATTTTAATTTGTTCTACTTTAATTGCGAAAAACTTTTGTATATGAATAATGATATTGTGTGGAAACTGTAAGTATAATTTTTTTCAGTAATTATGTATATGTCCTTTTATACATATGATTAATTAATCAAAATAGTTGGCGATATAATTACTATTTTTGAGAAATACTTTAAGTTTATCAACAAGTTTTAATCTATAAACAGATCACAAATGCGTATGACTAATGGCCAAAATTCTTAATAAATTTTAAGTACTTCAGAAATGATATTTAAATATATGTTTAATCGATACTTAAATAATATTTATTATGTCAACATTAATAAATTTAAATATTATTTAAATATCAATCAAGTATATATTTGAACATCACTTTTTGTAGTACTAGAAATAGCTGAAACTTTTTAAATTCAAAAAATTTCAAAAAATTCTGAACCAGATACGATAGGCGTGTTAAAAAAATCACTCGCATAACATGTATTTGATTATTTGATTATTTTAATTTTATAGTAAAAAGGACACCCAAAAGCAGAGGTTGAACGTTTACCGTTCAATTTTCTAAGAAAATAATAAATTGTTACACTACTAGACTAACCTGTGTTGTCTCGAAAAAAAGGCATTCATCATATTATATTGATTTCAAAAAGATTGTATAATAGATCTTTTCTATAACATTTCATTAACCTTTCAACAAGGTTTCATGTATAAGAATCGCGGACATTTTGCTATTTCAGAGCTGTCTCAGAAATGTTGCAGACATATTTCTCAATTTTTATGAAATGTTTCACTTTTCAGTTGAAGTATTTCTGAGATATTTCTGAAAATTTTCGGTGCTATATGGGTTAATTTCACTGTCAAAATTAGGGCTGTATGGGGTTAATTTCACTCAGAATTAGGAGCACATTCTCCATATACGAATATGGGGAAGACCGGGACTAAGTGGGCATCTTTTTTTCAATTGCAATTTTCAATAACAAAATAAACGATTTTAGTCAAATAATTATTAGCGTTTTATAGAGTGATTATAAGACTACAAGATAGCAATAAAAAAAGTTTTAGTTTGTAACTTCATTTCATTCACAAAAAATGATGTGACTCGAAAAATCTCAAAAATTATTTTTGACTACCTAAACATAATAACGTGGCATCTAAACTAACCAAATTTCATTGGTAGAGAAGATACACGAGATGTCATCTACTATATTGGAACTCATATATGGAAACTTATAAGATATATTTTTGTCACTCAAAATTCAAATGTCAGCTTAGCCCCGGTGCCCACCTAGTTTCTGTCTCTCTTATCTATTTGGCTGCACTCTTTATCAAAATTTTTTTGTTTTATTATAAGATGCGAAGTATTTTACTTTGTGCAATTATATGAAATATTTTCTTGCAATCGATGATATGGAAAAATTATGTAAAAAAAATTATTTTGTTTTGAAAGAAAGATAATCTGCATTAAAATCTTATAATAATCTTATTAAAAATCATATTTCCAGCGATTTAAAGATCATCTACATATATTTATTTAAATTAATTATATTATTTTCACAGATGTTATTATAAGAAATTATATTGTTTTTTAGAATTAAAAAAACGAAAAAAACATTTTTTAAATTATCACTAGCATGAAAGCTAGAAAAATGAAGCTGATATAAAATAATATATTAGGTATACAAGTTTGCTTCCGCCGTTTTTTTTTTCCGAAATTCGAGGCTTTATTGTAAAAAACTAGTTATACATTTATGATTCAAAGTATTGTCCATCGCTGGCCACTACTTTTTCCCATCTTTCAGGTAGCGTACGAATCCCGCGTCGAAAAAACTGGTCATCTTTTGAGGCTATCCACGAATCGATCCAATTTTTTACTTCTTCATAAGACCGGAAGTGCTGGTCAGCCAGGCCGTATGCCATTGATCGAAACAAGTGATAGTCAGAGGGAGCAACGTCTGGAGAATACGGCGGGTGAGGTAGGACTTCCCATTTCAACGTTTCCAAGTATGTCTTGACCACTTTCGGCAACATGGGGTCGAGCATTGTCATGCTGCAAAATCACTTTATCGTGTCTCTCGTTGTATTGCGACCGTTTGTCTTTCAATGCTCGGCTCAAATGCATCAATTGCGTTCGATACCGATCGCCTGTGATTGTTTCAGTCGGTTTTAACAGTTCATAATACACTACGCCGAGCTGGTCCCACCAAATACAGAGCATGACCTTGGAGCCGTGAATATTCGGTTTGGCCGTCGACGTGGAAGCATGGCCGGGAACTCCCCATGATTTTCTGCGCTTGGGATTATCGTAATGAACTCATTTTTCGTCCCCAGTCACAATGCGAAATCCCTTCCGTCTTTGCCTTTCAAGCAGCTGTTCACAAGCAAACAAACGCCGTTCAACATCTCTCGGCTTCAATTCGTACGGCACTCAATTTCCTTGCTTCTGAATCATTCCCATGGCTTTGAGGCGTTTTGAAATGGCTTGTTAAGTCACTCCCAATGATCGTGCCAATTCTTCTTGATTTTGACATGAGTCTTGCTCAAGTAATGCCTCCAATTCTGCATCTTCGAAAACCTTCTCTCTTCCACCGCTATGCCGGTCTTCGACGTCAAAATCACCGTTCTTGAAGCGTTGAAACCACTCACGACACGTTCTTTCACTAATAGCGGCCTCACCATAAGTATTTGAGAGCATTCGATGAGCCTCAGCCGCAGATTTCTTCATATTGAAGCAAAAAATTAAAACCTCCCGCAAATGACGAGAATTTGGCTCGTAAACTGACATTTTCAATCGAGAATAACTTTATGATGCAGACACAAATCGACTAATGTTTCTATGGGGTTATGTTGACAGATGCCCAAGTTTATTGTATGACGTCTATGATCTATTTATTTCGACCACCACTTACCGCTAAAGCCATCTATAGGAAAACGGCGGAAGCAAAGTTGTACACCTAATAATATTAATATAATTAAGTAAAATTTTTATTTCTGAACTTTAAATGCGCATTTTACAAATTACTATTATAAAAAATGATGATCATAATATATAACTCCAATATGAATTTTTAAATAATTTAAAATAACACTCTTAATAATATTTTGTATCGATTAATAAAGGCTTTCCCTACTTTTAATTTTTTTTTTAATAGGGAAGATAGGCCAGTTCTATTCATAGATACAACCAGCAAGTGGTGCTTGAGTCGCGCGGAGTTAAAGTCACTAGATTTATAAAATATCATAATTGATTTCAAAAATATTGCGTAAAAATCACGAAATAGTGCACATAGTACAATTTCAAGATGGTCAGTGGTTCATCTTTTAAACTGTACTTATATATCTTCATGCACTTTTGTGCACTAAACTTCTACAATAAATAAATTCATATTAAAAAATACATAAATCAAACATTTATATATATTTTTTCTTTATGAATAAACAAATTACAATTAAAAAACATTGATTTACGTACTTGACTTCATTTTCCCAAATAAAGTACGTATATACAAATGCATAAATTTGAAATGGCCGCGTCAAAATGAATGCGAGTTTGTACTTTATAAATCAAATGACTTTAGCGGAACGCGTGGCGCGGGGTACTCCATGCGCGAAGTAAGGAAGGAAATAAATTTGTCGCTTGCGAAAAGTCTGAGGAGAAAAAGGTTTTTTTCTTTCTTCCATTTGTCGCAGTCCTATATTTACTATCTTATGCGTATTTCTTCTTCTTCTCATTGCGGTTCTACTTACCATCTTATATATATTCGTGCTCTTTCTTCCTCTCGGTCATATATGTACATACCATCCACATAGCATGCAATATTACAGTAATATCACAGTAATATTGCAATGTACCAATATAATATCACAGAAATATTATGATGTATTACATTTGATAACCAGCATTGAAGTATCATAATAATATTGTAGCGATATGATGTCTTAAGCAGAGTAATTAATAACGCTTTCATTATGTTTTATTGACATTAGAGACGTCATTAAGATGTTTTAAAATATCACAAAATTATACATACATAATTTTATAAATTTATTATAACTGTTTCAGTTTATTATAATATTATATAATAGTTATTGCATTGACAATCAATAGTATTTTTTAATTAATATCATATTACATAATTTTTAAAATATTCATTGGAATAATTAATGTCATATGGAATAACATTAAAAATCAATTCAATAAATTCTTTACAAAATTCTCTTTAATTTTTCCCAATAAATATCTCATAAATATAATTATATAAATATCGCAGAAATACATAATATTATAGTGATATTCCTCTTAGTATAATATTATAGTGATATTCTTGATGTGATATATCTCAGTAATATCTCCTCATTTTCGCGGACATTCTTATATAACTGTGACATCTCAATAATATTTCTCAGTAATATTTCAATGATATTTTTGCTACTTTATTGTAATATTGCAATGAAAAAATAATATTGCTGCGATATTATTATTGTGATACATACTGTGAGCATTTTATTTGTGTTCTCTCTCCCATCCATTGCGATCCTAGCGAGAAAAGAGGATAGAGCGTATTTTGCTTCCATTGAGTATTCTCAGCAGTCGGCGAGTCAGTCAAATCTCTGTACATCAGAATAAAACGCAGGAGTAGAAGAGTTTTTTGCCTCTATCGAGCGTTTTCGGTAGTCGCCATCTTCATTATCTTCAGAAGAAATCTTGTAATCGCATACAGAATCTCGTACTATCGCGTTCACCGCGTATACGGACCACCGCATTCTGAATATGACGCGTTTATATCGACATGCCAGCCGCAATACCGCGATCCGAATTGGCATTATCCGTCATGAGGCCCGTCCGCGCACCGCGAGCTCTACACATATACGTCTAGCTGTAATATCCGTTACGAATAAATTCCGCATACCGCTTTCACGATACACGACACATATACATGTATGTATTGTATTCACTCTGTCACATATCCATCACACACACAGACATATTTATATATTCTCACTCTGAATTATTGGCGTATTATGAATCGCGAATATTATACATTTTTATATCTTGTGCTACTTTAATAACTCAATAAATACCGTTTCTCTTGTCACATTCTTAAAACTTGTTTCATATTTTATTAACACTCGTCTCTCTCTCTCTCTCTCTCTCTCTCTCTCTCTCTTTCTCTCTCTCTCCCCTCCTCTCCCTCCTTCTTTCCCTTTCCTCTCTCCCTCTCTTCTTCTCTTCCTCTCTCTCCTCCATACAAATCTAATCTTATTCTCGTTATCAGAACAATCCGAGCTATTTCGCGACTAACAATTAGGGAACCTTTTTCAAGTGTCACTCGCTAATTTTTCTCATTCTTTGAATTTTAATTCAAGACATCAAAAAGTTTTCATGCCAAAAATAATTGCTCAATATTAACCTTATAATAATAGCGCTTATATATTTCATTTTTAATAATGAAATTCTTCGAAAATAACGCGTTTCTGCCACAAATGTTTCAAACATTTTTTTTATCATTTTAAACTAGCATTTTTGTAAGAATTTTGTAGAATGATGAGGAATCAATTTGCGTCTAAAAATCATAATTTCACTAAAAAAATTTAATTGATTATGAAATCACTTCCGCAGAAGTTCTCAAGGCCAAATAAAAAACGCTATTCTATATTTCTTTCGAAATCAAACAATTTTTGTTATTGTTTGAAACATTTTTGGCAGAAACGCGTTATTTTCGAAGAATTTTAATTCATTATTAAAAATAAAATACCGTGTACAAGTTATGATTAATATTGACAGTTATTTTTGATATGAAAAATCACTTTTTGATATCTTGAACCAAAAAATGAGAAAAATCGGCGAGTGACATTTGAAAAAGATTCCTTGTAAGATTAATGAATGTTTATTTTAAGACATTATTTAAGAGGATCATAAAATAAGAATTATGGATGCGGCCTAAATAATGCGATAATTTTTTTTAGAGACAGTACTACGCGAAAGTGAGAATTTCGACACAGATAAGATAGATTTCGATCCGGCGGCAGGAGGGTCGTCGTTGTAAGAAGTTATATTATAGAATAGAAGTTATCACTTATGCAGATAGCATTGGTTTTACATTTTATATTGTGATTATTATTTTTATTCTAAAAATGTATTATAGATATACACGAGAGATATCGCACGAATTTTGAAGATGTTTTGGGAATATTCGGTTTTGGGTATATAATATAGTACAAAATTAGTATCGAAGTTTAGTATTATACTATATTTAATATATCTTGACAGTATATGAGAAATGATATTTTATCGGGACGTTACATTAATATTTCTAGTTTATTCAGTATGATCATAGTACATTGAATATAAAAACTAGAATATTATCCTAATATCATGTATTGAGACACTACTGTCGAATTTATTTATTGTACTATTGCAATAGCAGTTTTTTTCCGTAAGGGCCCCTCTTATTCAAGAACGAAAGTTTGTATGTATTACCTAATCCAAACTCAAGTTTATTGATTAAATTTTAATATATTGATCTTTTTGTGTATAACTTCGAAAAAATTCCTTATAATAATTTCTCTCTTATGCATTTTTTCATAATTATTTATCTTTTATATATTTCCTTTTATCATCAATAGCAATGAAAATAATTAGTTTGAATAAGACATTTCATATACGCGCAAGAAATGTCTTATCCAGCATGCGCAAGAAGCATCTTATCCGACACTATGATACTAATTTCTCAAATGAATATATTTCGACATAAATTCATCCGTTTTACTATTTTGCAAAAGTATCGTTGTCGACGATACGTAAGCGACTTCGACGAATTTCTATCGAAAGATCACGAGAAAAGTATGCAAATGCTGAAGAAAGCGGAATGGGAAACGAAATTGACGGAAGAGATTAGCACCCAGAAGAACGAGCTTGCGAAACAATTCGGTCAGAATAGATTGGACGTTTATGTATTGGAAGAAAATTGGAGATTAGTAAAAATGTGCCAGATGTTCCTTTATTGCTTGTCACCTGTCGCTTGGAGGACCAAGTACGACTTGTTCCAACAATCCGAACCAGAAAAAAGCATTACCTTCGTCGATACTCCATCGGTAGACTTGTTTAACAGATACAAAACACTAGATGAAACTGCATCCTTGGAGAAATTGATAGGTAAGTCTGGGCGAAATGTTTAGCGCTTAATATTTTTCAATATTTTTTTTCTTAATGTACGAACAATCATTTCGTGTTAGAATTATTCGAACAAGACACCACTGATGCCGGCCCGGCTGTATTGTACTTCGATGATCCATTCGATTTAATCCGCATCTTCCGGGCAATGGAGATCCAGAATTTAAATGCACTCGTACATCTCGAATCCCTCGCTGCCCCGATGGCAGACATAACCATGACAATCACTGTGACTGAAGCGCAAATCAAACAAGAGATCAGCGAAATTACTTCAACGATCAATGATTTAGAAGTTCGTACCAATTCAATTCAATCGAGTTCACATGATTTATAAATTGAACACGTTAATACATTTTGGATGTTTGAAAAAAGTTTCTAAGATTTTAATGATATAACTCACAATGAAAAGAATGAAAGATTAATCAAGACCGAAAAGTGAATCATATTAAAAACAAAAATAATTCCCAAAACTAAATTCATTAATAGTGCTTACATTTTTATATAAAAACGTCTTCTTTTTAATTCACTTTGGCGAAAATTTTTCTCCTACAATTCTTCATATAATATTTTATAATTTTTATATATGTACAAATTTAAAAATTTTCAGAATTTTTGTATAATTTTATAATTTTTTAGAAAGTTTCTCAGAATTTTTACGAATTCTAAGATACTTCATTCTATTATTTCTGAAGAAAATTTAACGAATATAAATAAAAAAAAGAATTTAAGATAGTTTTCAGAAATCTTAAAAATGTAAAATACGAAAAATTAAAGATATTATGAACTATAATATAAAAATTTGATTACCAAGATAAATCAATTTTTCGATCTATGTTGATTGAATATTATTTTATTTTTAATGAATACTTTTCAATGAATACTACATGCTTCTAAAACATTGGATTTTTATATACAGTATTTCTGAAAAGTGGGGACAAACTTAAAAGGCTGATAATAAGAGATTTCATAAAATGAAAAATTATTGTTTTTAGAACTTTGTTCAATTATTGTTTTGCATAAGTGTTTAAAATGATTCTTCAACCTCATTATCATTAATAATGTTTAACAAAAATTGATATCTATCGTCTTGAGATGTCATCCGACATACAAATTACATATAAGTTGTTTAATTTGACTATTATCTTTTTAGATTCATCATCATTTTTCGGAAACATTCTATACATAAAATATTTCAAATAAATTCTAATGAAATACGTTTTTCTTTTTTAAATTCTCATTATATCTTTAACATTAACAATTTAGTCTTACGAATCGAAGTATCCGATAGAATTTCATCATTGAGGCAGAAAATAGAGCAGCAAATCTCGAGGAATACGCTAATTATCTTCTCCAAGATGTTTTTCGACATCTTGTCTGCTCTAAAGAAGTACTCTATCTTCGCGTTTTCGTAGAAGATGCCTATGAAAGTTGCATAGGTCCGAACGACGCGAATCTTAATAGTTTTTCGATGATGAAATGGATTGAAAAAATGCACGAGAAGCTTAATCTCCAGCTGGATAATCTGCCACGCGAAATTGTTCGTGCTTGTGAGCGGGAAGGATTCCGTCAAGAGATGAAGGTTATAAAGGAAGCGGAGGATGCCGCAAAAAAGGTAAATAATTTATATTAAACATTTATCTTTTACTCGTAAATAAGAGAGTCTTAAGAGTTAATCTCATGGGAAAGCCTAAAATTATGATTTTTAAAGATTTTGCAAGTTCAAAACACATTTGTCTTTACGTAATAAGTTAAATTTTATTATCTTAATTAAAATATTGCTCGTTTGTCTTTTACTGTTATTTATTGTTATTATTGTATATTATGAACTAAATAGTTTACTTGTTATTTTGCAATTAACATGCATTAAGTATAACCTTGAATTTAATATCTTAAACAACGATTATGTTACACGATTGTTTCATAATTTAATACAAACAATAACTTAATTCGTAATAATTTGCATGATTGCTAGTTCGAACTAATGCATCAATTATTGGACGCTCTGAAGCGCGTTATGGAATTACCTATAAGCAAAAAACGGCCATTAATTCGGCGTTCAGTACCGATTATAACCAAGATGAAGCCGCCATTACAATTATTTAAACCGACGGATGAGGAAATTCAATATCTCACCTTCTTCACCGATTACTGCAGATTACGCGATGACTTCGTCACATATCGTTCCAAGTTTCCGGATGATTTCAATTTGACATTCCAGAGCAAGCGAGATGATATCAAAAACAAAATGATATTTAATGATATATCTTCGAATCGAGAGCAAATACGGGAAAAGGAGAAAGAGGAAGAAGAGGAAAAAGCAGAAGAAAAGAGAAAATGAATATACTATTGAAAACATAACAGAATCAGCACATTTATTTGAAAATTTCTCGTGCGTATATATCCGAAAGGATTCTATCAGTCTAATGCGCTACGCATTGTCGATTACTTAGCGCTATTAATAATTAATATGTATACATAAATAGGCGATTTAACGATCAATGTTGAAGCACAAGATAAAATATTCAGAGATAATAAAACACAACAAGAGGCAACTACAGCGTACAATAGAATTCGAGACGATAGTCGATATAAAAACAACAATCATGCTTGATATCTTGATTACAAAGCGCCAATTTATACATTCTTTCTTATAAACTTATAAGAAGATTGTGATATACACTTCATCTTCAAGTATCTCTTTTTCTTTTTACACACGAGCAAC